CCGGCTCTGCCCGCAGCACCAGGAGCCCGCCGCGCCGGCCATCCACGCACCCTGGTCCACCGCAGGTATGAGGGGTCGGAAGTGACCTGGACGTCAGGTCGTCTTCTCTCCCACATCCTTCTGGAAATTTCCACGTCTAATCAGGCCCTGTCCTGGCTGTTAATAGAGGCGGCCATGCGAGGCTCCTTGCTGGGGACAGTGCAGCTGGTCATGTGGGGCATTCGGATCTGTTAATTCTGCCACCCCCTGCCAACCTGCGCCTTCCCTCACACTGGCATCAGAAGGCTTGCAGACAACAGTGGCACACGTTTCATTGAGACACCTGGTTCCCAGGAGAGGTCGGAACCTCGCCTGCTGCCTCTCCAGCTCCGTTCCCTCGGGGGGTTTCTGGGCTGTCCCGGGAGCAGGAAGTGGCTCCTTCGCCCTGGCCTGCCCTGCGTGCCAGCCACTGTCCTCAGTCGGCCCTGCAGGAGGCTGCTCGTCACCCTTCTGAGAGCGAGGCTGGTTTTTGCTCTTTGATCACAAGTTGCCCGCTAAGTAATGAGAAGTGGGAAACTTAGAAAAAGCTAGAGGGCATCCCGTAAGCAGATGCAAACTGGGATGGGTTTTAAATTCTTGTGCGGCTGTATGATACTGGACGGCTTTGCAGAGAATCCCCGCTGAACGGAGCGATCGCCTGTTTCTTTGTAGGCAAAGTACACGGACTTCATTGGTCTGACCATCAGTGTGCTTTCTCCTGGTGTGCAGAAGGAAAAGACAAGACAGACAGTTCTGTAAAGGCTTGCTTGCTGGCGCGCTGGGCAGGGCTGGGAGGAGGGTCCCAGTTGGGTCCGCACCCTCCCTGCCCAAGGTGCTCGCCGCCCAGGGAGGAAGTCAGCAGATCCCCTCAGGGGCGCCCCGTACGAAGGCGAAAGATGTTTTGATATGAAAATCTTTTCCCCGTGATCTGATCATGGGCAGTTTAAGTTCCTTGTGTTGCTTCCTAGTCAGGACTTTCTCCTTTGGTCAGGGAGTCCCACAGGGCACCCCACTTCCAGGCCACAGGAGGGCAGCTCCCCCCACCCCCACTGCTCTCAGGGAAAGCAGATGCGTCTGTGAACGTGGGCGGACAGTCCAGAGGGCATGCTTAGTCCTGCCAACCAGAACCCAGACTGTCCTCGGCTCTCATGCATTTTTAAAACTTTTATTTCGTTTCAAATCTAAGCCATTTTCATCTCGGGCCCATGCGCCTCACTTCACTCAGGTGATCATAGTGATGGTCGTGGTGAGAGCCGCGGGGGTTCTATAGGACTGCACCCAGGGCCCGACATCAGCATGGCCACGTGCTTTAACTGGAAGCTGGGCTTCTCTGCCTCCCAAAGTGCTTTCTTGTTGGCGAGTCCAGCCCTGGGGTCCCATTGGATCTGCCGCGTGGGCTGGGTGGGCGGGGCCTTGGTGCTTCCAGGCCTGCGGGGCTGGAGCCGACAGCAGGAGGCCTTAGCCTCACTGCACTTGGCTTTGGGGTGACCTTTGCTTAGAGGGTCCGCTGATGCTCTGGTGGGTCTGGGGAGCCGACATCGGATTGGGCTCCCCAGCATTCGGTGTGAGCTTCAGAGCCCTGGGTGGGTGGGCTGTGCGGGTGTTGAGGAGGCGGTAGAGGGGACAGCGGCTGTTGGCTTGTTGTCATGTTCCGTGTATTATTTATTTTTCCATCTCCCCCACCCCCACCCCCACTTTGTTTGTAAACAGAGAAAGGTCCGCTCACGATCTCTGCCCAGGAGAACGTGAAGGTCGTGTACTACCGGGCGCTGTATCCCTTCGAGTCCAGGAGTCACGATGAGATCAGCATCCAGCCGGGCGACATCGTCATGGTAAGGGCGCCGTGCAGTGCCTGCTGTCCGTGGCAGCACCGCCTTTCTGTGGACTTGACTGGCAGCTGCGAGCTTGTCAGGGAGTGTGAGAGCCAGTAGCCAGCACCGGTTTCCGAGCTGTAGGCTCAGTCTCCTTCCCTTCCTGTTGGGATGGGAGAGGACCTTTAACCCTGTACCCAGCGTCGCCTGGAACCAGAGCTGTGAAGGCGACGGGCTCGTGGCGCAGCCTCAGCGTAGTTGTAACCGGTGACGAACCGGAACCTCAGAGTTGAGGTTACTGCTCCAGTTCCGTAGTAAATTTATTTTCAGGACTAGTTTTACATGGGAAATACTCCAGCATCATTTTCAGTTGCCAATTAAATATGTATATTCTTATGATTGTAACGAAAACTATTAGGAACCAGTTTAAGAAAGAATAAAGCCATGTGGTTGACCTAAATTATTTTCTAAAAGAAAACGTTGTACCTCAATCTAGTCAACACCTTCAGAATAAGAGTCTTAGAAGTGGCCACCTTCGCATTGCTGTTCTCATTGAAGGGGCAAACAGGCAGCGGCCGGCATTTTAAAAGAGCGGGGAGGCAGGATGGAGACAGACACGTTTCTCCTGCCAGGACCTGGCTCTGAGGGCAGAGGTGTTTGCGTGTCTCGCGCATCCGGGTGTACAGCTGAGCTCTGTAGAACGTGTGATCTCTAAGGGGCCAGATACAGCGGTTCTCAACCTGTGGGTCGCCACCCCTTTGGCGGTCGAACGACCCTTTCACGGGGTCTCCTAAGACCATCCTGCATATCAGATATTTACATGACGATTCATCACAGTAGCAACATTACAGTTATGAAGTAGCAACGAAAATAATTTTATGGTTGGGTCACAACGTGAGGAACTGTATTTAAAGGGCCAGAGGTTGAGAACCACTGGGCCAGAATATAAAGAAAGAACAGAGAAATCAGCCCGTCCCCACTGTTATTCTGACAGCCTTTTCTCTCATTGTGGGCGGGAATCAGGAGGGCCAAGGCCAGAGGGCCGGAATCTTCCTGAGGCTCAGGAACGAGTGTATCTTCAGACACACCCCGCCCTTCACAGACAGCTGAGTGCGCATGTGCTGGTGCCGGCCTCCCTCTTACAGAGAGACTGGCTCCCTGAGGAGTGGGCACCGCTCCGGACACCGTGGTGCCAGGCCGGGCCGGGCCTGCCTCTCCACCACCTCCTGGCGCTCACACTGCCTCCTCTCTGAAACGCCACCCCTTAAAAAGGGACGAAAGTGCAGTGCGACAGCAGATAGGACCTCGTTACAAAGTGGCCTTATCTCACTTGAAAAACTAAGCTTAATGTTTTGTTTTTAAAATATATTTTATTGATTTCTTACAGAGAGGAAGGGAGAGGGATAGAAAGTTAGAAACATCGATGAGACAGAAACATCGATCAGCTGCCTCCTGCACACTCCCACTGGGGATGTGCCCGCAACCAAGGTACATGCCCTTGACCAGAATTGAACCCGGGACCCTTCAGTCCGCAGGCCGACGCTCTATCCACTGAGCCAAACCGGTCAGGGCAGCTTAATGTTTTTATAATTGCATTTTGTTGCAACACAAGTTGCAGAAAAGTAACTGTGCTCTTCTCGAGATAAGGGAGTGTTACAAATGTTCCCATAAGGAAACGTTAACAGATGATCTGTATTTTAATGAGAAGGTATTGCTCTTTTTTTGAAATGTAAATTTTTTACAGTGATATTGAGTCCTTTTCCTGAAGTTGGCTAGTTAACCACCAGCTTGACTAGATGAATAGTTAGATATACTGTAAGAATAAGCCTTTCATTAAACATCTGTTTTGCTTTCAAACCTTTGCTTTCCCGGTGGAGGTTAAAGGGGAATGGGTAAGTGCTCTGTGGCTGTCAGGAAGTCTGCATCGTAGTCAGTGTTCTGTGCCTTTAAGTCACTTCAATCCTGTGTGGGTGCCCGTCTCTGTGGGTGTTGTCGCGGTGGTGGAAGTCCGTTTGGAGTGTGTGGCGTGTTGTGCTTACAAAAACCAGGAAGGAGACAGGTGTGCAGAACGGACAGGCCTCCCTCGCGGGGGCCCTGGGAGGCTCATGCGAAGGCTCTGTATTTGGCAAGTTGTTAGGTCAAGTCTCTGCCTCGGCCATGGACAAACACAGGTTCCAAAACTAAAAGATAAAATTCTAAAAATGTGTTTTTTTTACAAAGGTGAATATTGGAATAATTTTATGGCTAAGAAATGCATCTGTAGGTTAAAACCAGAAGCCATAAATGACAAAAATGGACAGATTTGACAATATAAAAAATTAAAATGCGTATGTCACAAAGTACACAGAGACAAAAGGTTAATATCTGTATTACATAAAATATTCCAAAAGGTTATCACTAAAGAAACACAACCTAGAAAAGCTGGTGGAGGATATGAAGAGACAGGTACAGGTGAAGAAAAGTAAATGAGTTAAAAAAAAAATAAACGAAAAGATCATCCATTTCATTGGTGATCAGGAAAATACAAGTTAACAAAACGAGATAGTATTTTCCATCTCTCAACTGAGCAAGTGTAAAAGCTTGATACTGCCAGCTTTGTCAGTGGAGGCGAGTGGGTGTAATATCCATTGTCAGCCTGGCTGTACGAATTGGCTAAGTCCTTTGGCAATACCTCTTCAAATTTAAAATTCTCTAAAAGTCTGGTGCTCTCCCTCCTCCAGCTGTTTTCAGCATGTGTCCAAAGATGTGTGCACCGGCTGTTCACCAGTGTGTTGGTAACGGCAGAAGGGCCCAGCCCAGAGCTGGCTGTCGGGAGGGGGTTAAGTGACTCACAGTGTAAGTAAACAGCATAATGGAGAGGTTAGAGAACCATGTAAATCTACATCTACAAACAAGCTTTCCAATAAAACAGCAGAAGCAGAGTAGAGTATAACTGGGTTTTGGTTAAGTAAAAACTGTGTGTATGTGAATGTTTATGTGTAGTTAACAGTCTTGAAATACAGACTCAAACTGTTAACAGCGGTTCCCACTGGGCAGTAAAGAGGCTTTCGTGCTTAATTTTACCTACTTCTGTATTATTTTCATATTTATAAATGAATGAACATTTGTAATTTATAGTAAAACACTGAAAGTAAATCCAGCTTTGATGGGTGACAATGTCCACCGGGACTGGATGGGGTTCGCTCTGCCTTAGGCCTTCCAGATGCGGGAGGAAACGCGCAGTGCGCCCCGAGCAGTGTGGCGGCCTGCTGAGGGCCGGGGCAGCGCCTCATTTCCTATTACACAATGTAACATGACCCCCCATGACATTCAGCAGTCTTACCTTTGTGAGGTTAACAATGTGGGCGGCAGGGAGGGGGGATTGACATGTAATAGTAACAGGTTTTATTTCACTGCAGTTAAGAAACGTAGGCATGAAAAATATGTCGTTAGAACATTACTGTCAACCCCTCTGGGTGAAATGATCAGGAGTTCCCTTATTTTGTGGGCACAGAACCACCCGATTCTCAGATTGCTTCACATCTTGGAGAACCAGCCGCGCACCTGTTAGACTGGAGCAGCTGACCAGCTTCCTTTTTCAAGGCAGGCTGGCGGGGGACTTTAGATAATGTTTTGATTTTGAAAAAAACTTGACTATCAGCTTAGATTTCCCCCCAAATATATATTTTTTGTGGTTCACAAAATTAAAGTGCTATCTTGTACATAGTCCTATTCTCAGTGTTGATAACACAAAGACATCTAAGGTGATGCCTGCCATTCACGTTTAAAGTCTCTGTAGGAAACAGGAGAAACCCATGGAGAGCCGGCGCCTGGGGAAGGCGCAGTGAAGGCTCCCTAGCGCTGCCAGGAGTAGCAGAGGGGCAGGCCCAGAGCGAGCCGACATTGCTCAGACTCCGAATGGAAGCTTCCTGGTTGAGTTTGAGCTTGACCTTGACAGCCAAGGCTTAGATGCTGCGGAAATCTGTGGCCTGTCTCCTCGTCTGGGGGTCCCAGTATCTGGGGGCGAATAAATCACATTTGACCTCTGTAATGTGTTGGAATAGCATCAGGACTAGAAGACCTTCGCTCATTGCTGTTCAGTTGAGGTTTATCTTAGCCCAGGCGCGACCAGGCACATCAGAACTGCTCAGGGAGCTGAAAGCCCGCTCCATGCCCATCCCGAAGCAGCCCGAGCGCCTGCCAGTGCAGGGACGGGTGCAAGCGCCGTGGTGCACGTGCACAGTGGAGCGCTCTGCAGCAGGGAGACGGAGGCTTTCTTACCCTTTGAAACCTAATGTCTCTTTCTCGTCAGGATAGTCCTGGATTCTTTGTGGACAGTGTCTTCCTGAAATGCCCAGGAAAGGAGACCCTTCAGCAGTCGCCAGCCACCACGTTCTGGAACTTGTCTGTCTTCTGATTTAGCATTTCTGGCATAACAAATTTTTTGTCATAACACTTTAAACTCATGCCTGTCTTTTCTCCTCTCCGTGCTCGGTGGTGATAGATCCAGTCACGGCAGGGTGGAGGGCCGGCACACACATGTGGCGCCCGGGGTCAGATCCGCCCCGCGCTGTGTTGTAATGAAGCTGCTGGCAACAGCCAGGCGCACTCGTGGCCACACCGCCTCCAGCTGCCTGGGCGCGGCCGTGGCAGAGTTGAGTGGTTGCGACAGTTAAGGGGACAGTTCGCCAGCCGCCCGCTTCCAGCTTTGGAAACAGTTTCACGTCCTCCCCAGAGTTTCCAGGGAAGCCTTGTGCGTCCTGTGGCAAATGTGCGAAACCCGCTGCTCTGACTCCCAGCACACCCCGGGAGCGGCTCTGGGTCCCCTAAGCCCGCCCGCTGCCCCGGCTTGGGAGGGGATCGGGGTCCCCGCTTCCCTTCTTTGTGACAGAGTCCGTGGTTTGAGGGTGTTCATCTACTCACTGTAAGTGGCTACTTTCTCTGCCCCTTAAAATGTGATTGTCCGTAAGAATGAGTGGGTTCCTGTAAGAGCCAGTCAGCCTGCCGGACACTCGTTTGGTCGGGTTGGCAGGGGATGTCCTGGAAGTGAGCCTCCTTGAGGGCGGGCCCCCTTCTCAGCTGCACAGCCCCTCAGGGCACCTTCTGTCCCAGAGGCCGAGGGACAGGCAGGCGGGGATCAGTTAGCCAGGGGGAGCCAGGCCTGCCCGCTGCTGTGCGGGACACTCCTGGGGGCTTCGCATCCCGGAAGCAGTCGGCCAGCAGCCTGTTACGGGGCAGACCCCGTGTCTCGGGCGGGAGGCTGAGTCACAGGCCGACCTTGCAGGAGTCCAGCGTGTGCAGGGCAGCGCACCCGCCGGGCACGGCCGGGACTGGTTCCAGGCCCTGAGGCGTTCCTGCTGCCAGAGGCAGCCAGAGGTTCCTGCACACAGGCCTCTGGGCACGGGCCCCCTGTGAGAACCAGAGGTGGTCCCGGGAGGGAGGTCAGGCGCAGGCCAGGCTGTAGAGGGAGCGGGAGCCGGGGAAGAGGGCGGGGAAGAGGGCGGCAGTGCAGAGTCCTGGCCAGGGAGGCGGCTTCAGGAAGCTCATGGAGCCCAGCGGGTGCTTCAGTGGTTGAGCGTTGACCTATGAACCAGGAGGTCATGGTTTGATTCCGGTCAGGGCGCATGCCTGGGTTGTGAGCTTGATCCCTAGTGTGGGGCGTGCAGGAGGCAGCCAATCGATGATCCTCTCTCATCATTGATGTTTCCATCTCTCTCTCCCTCTCCCTTTCTCTCTGAAATAAATAAAAAAAATATATTTTTAAAAAATCCTCATTTAGAGAACCAGTTGGGGCTGCCCCGAAAATGGAGTTAGAACAAACTGTGGGGAGTTGGATGAACAGTGACCAGGCGTCCACCACTGACTCAGTGTCAGCGAGGATCACAGGTCTGCAGAGCCCAGCAGAACCTCCCAGCAGGACTGCACTGTCTCCGGGGCCTGCTGCGGGGGGCCCTCAGCTGCAGACGCTTCCACCCGGGACAGCAGGGCTCCCTGCGGGGGGCCGAGCAGGCGCCCTCCAGGCTGAGTCACAGTTCAGTAGTTGGTTGGGTGTTCCACTCTCTCCACCCAAACACCTTTTTAACTCAAGCAAGCAAATGACTGTTACACCCCCTTACTCTGCGCAGAATACAGATAAGTCGGGTCTATAGTTTTTTGCTTTTTTTGTTTGTTTGTTTACTGAAATTTGAATGGGTTAGAAAACTGGTATTTTTGCCAGTTTTTCTAAAATCATTGTTAAGACCCTGCCTACTCATTTCTGTGACTTCTAAAAAGTAATGTTAATGTCCAGTGAAGTGTTAAATGTGTTACCTCCTTAGTATGTTAAGGGATTCAAAATCAGATGAGGTCTCTGCTAGCCCCGTATTTGACCTAGAACAGTGATGGCGAACCTTTTGAGCTCGGTGTGTCAGCATTTTGAAAAACCCTAACTTAACTCTGGTGCCGTGTCACCTATAGAAATTTTTTGATATTTGCAACCATAGTAAAACAAAGATTTATATTTTTGATATTTATTTTATACATTTAAATGCCATTTAACAAAGAAAAATCAACCCAAAAAATGAGTTCACGCATGTCACCTCTGACACGCGTGTCATAGGTTCGCCATCACTGACCTAGAGCGATGAACATACTTTTCTAACCGTGAGTGTAACTCCTCCCACATCGTTCTTCCGTTGCCCCTAAAACAGTGGGTAACTTGTAGCAATAAGCAGAATCATCCTGCTGATTCCAGTAACCCTTCTGAGTGGGAACTGAAGTCCAGCGCAGACATGAGGAGCACCTGCTGTAATACGCAGCCTCTGAAATGTTAAGCAGCAGGATTTCACATTCTCACATGCACCTCCCGAATAGTAAAGTTGAATTTGTACAACAGAAAACTATGGGACCTTAGTAACAGTTGCAGCTACAAATAATTTTGTCCTTACTTTTCCCATCATGCACCTGTGCGCTTTCACCTGGCTCAGCAGCGGTCCGCTCTCTTCCGCGGAAACCATCTACGGCTGTTTGATCTTTCTTGACCCTCCGCTGAGTAACTCCTTGTTACTAGAGGTTGTTAAAGGATACTGATTCATACTGACGGCGCCCTTTGCTTCCAGCTCTCAGTCGGCACCGCCGGCTGTCGGTAACGATTAGCTGACTCTGTGCAGTGCAGCTCGGCCGTCACTGTCCAGTCCCAGCCGGTGCCGGGCTCAGCAGGTGCGCGTGGGCCTCGGCCAGGCTCTTGGTCTGACCTGCCGTGATTAGGAAAAGGGAAGAAAACTGAAACCCACCGGGGGTGAGAGCTGACTGCTGGCTCCTCCTTTCGCTCAGAGCCAGGGCTCGGGCACCCGGCACCACAGACCTGCCCGGGGTCAGGTGCAGAGCTGCCCGGGGTCAGGCATAGAGCCACCCGGGGTCAGGCATAGAGCCACCCAGGGTCAGGTGCAGAGCCGCCAGGGTCAGTGCAGAGTCGCCCGGGGTCCGGCATAGAGCCACCCGGGGTCAGGTGCAGAGCCGCCCGGGGTCAGGCATAGAGCCGCCCGGGGTCAGGTGCAGAGCCGCCCGGGGTCAGGCATAGAGCC